TGAGCTCTTCTCTGAAACCACAAAGATCCTCAGTAGCAGCCCCTGAGGTGGCTGATGCATAACCTCCAGGTCTCCCCAGGAAGGGATAAGAGGCCAGGAGAGAATCCTGCCCGGCCTTGGGCCTCGGGAGCAGATTCGGGAGACCTCCACCATGTTCTAGACACCTTTCCTCCTCAGCCTCCTTGGCCACTGCACAGGTGCTGCACCCAGCTCACACCCACCTCAACTCAGGGCCATGGGACAAGGCTGGCCAGGCTCTGAGCTCAGCATGTGAGGCAGGATGCTCATGACCCTGCTGCAGGATGAGGGGCTGCAGGGGTAACACCCCCATTGCACTTACTGGCTCTGTGTGAGCCCAGAGAGGCTGCCTCTACCTTGGGAAAGGCCTGTTTTTCAATTTGTTCAAAGGCCCCATGGACCAGTCAGGCCCATGGGATTCTGGGAATGAGATTGATGAGAGGGGGCAAACCTGGGGTTTGCAGAGAATCCCTGGAGCTAGGCAGGTAGGGGACTCCTGGGGATTGGACCAGATCTGGAAGCCCACCTCTCCTTTTCTCTCTCACAGGCTCCATGGCCCCTACAAGCTGACTCAACCCCCTCGCTGTCAGTGACTATGAAGGAGACGGCCAGGATCACACGTGGGGGAAAACACATGGGAAGTACATATGTCCACTGGCACCAGCAGAAGCCAAGCTAGACACCCCTGGAAATTATCTATCATTACAGCAACCTGCCCTCAGGGATCCCTGACCAATTTTCAAGTTCCAACTCAAGGACCAGGCCATCCTGACCATAACTCAGGCCCAGGCCCAGGGCAAAGCTCACTGCCACTCTGCCACCTACCATGGCAGTGGGAGCAGTTTTCAGTGACTCACAGTGACACAGACAGGTGAAGGGGGACCCAAACCTGCTCCCCCAGCCTGGCTCACACAGCTCGCCCTGGTCACACCCAGCGGGACAGAGCCTTCCACACAGAGACTGGCCCTGCCCTCACTCCCCCAGCGATGGAGCCAGTCCTCAGTCCTGTCTGGGCTCTGTCTTCTCCATGGCAACCTGAACAGGCACGAGCACCTGCTGATGGGCAGGTGCTCATTCCCAAAAGATCACCCGAAAACCACTTCATCCCGCACACCAAGTCCGTTAGTGCTCAGGAGAAAACCCCCAGGCAGAGTCTCAGGAACGTCTCCGGCAGGTGAGGGGAGTGTGTGCAGGGTTTCAGGATGTGCACATGAGGGGCGTGAGGCAGGTCTTTCAAGGAAGGAGCAGCCTGACGTGGGTCACTTCTGTGACATAACAGCATAGGACTGGTGGACCCTCTCAAGGGGGCAGTCATCAAACCAGTCTTGATCAGTAAACTTTTATTTAATAAGCTGTTTACCCAGATGAGAATGTTTGCCCAGGGGAGCAAACTGTTTAGCTCCTAATGCATTTTCCAGTGCCCTGAGTGATTATTTACATCCTTACCCTTCTGGGCAAGGATTTCTAGATCTAATAGACACCCAGCCACAGGTGATCTCAGTCCTCAGATCCAAACATGAGGGACAAAATGAAAACGAAGAAGTTCATTGAACTCCAGAGGGAAGACACAGACCTCTCCGTGGGCAGGGACGGGAGATGTAGTGTCTGAGGACCAGACCTATGGGACCTCCTGCCCATGTGGGGGTCACCCCGAGAGCATGGAGGGATAGGTTGCAGATGGAGGGAGCTCAGAGAACAGGTGCCCATGCTGGACCAAGATCCAGGGAGAGACAGAGCCTGGCCCGTCCCTGGTCCAGCACCTCCACCAGCATGTTCAGACCTCTCCCTCCCTCTCTCAGGCAGCCCCTTCCCTCTCTCTGATCCTTCCAGCTTAGACCTCCTTGCTCTCCCATTTCTCTGCCCACCCTACACCACAGCTCAACCCACAGTGAGGGGGACACTCCCTCGGCCCCATGCCCAGGCCCTGCAGAGGAGGCCAGACCAGGAACACTGTCAGAAACGTCAGTATCCAACTGTGTAGGACATTCCTGCAGAACCTGGCCAGTCTCTGACTTTCATTTCTACCAATACCAACAGCTTCAGGGACCTCGATGGACTCTCTAACCTCCACTGAGAAAGCCGATCATAGAGACATGGGCCAAAAGAAGAACCTTATGATAGACATTGAGCTGTCATAGCAGACCTTTTCTGGACTCAAGGACTTATTGCCCCCTAGGCAGAGCTGGATCTGTCTGCAATGACCCTGGGCAGAACAGAGAAGGGACAGAGGCTTGAATAAAGGTTGAACCAGTGATAATGTCACAGGGCAGAGCTGTGGCAACACCCTCCATGGAGGCCCTAAATTAGCAATCGTCACCTGGAGAGTCGTTTGTGGCACTGATTGTAGGAACATGGGGTAGGAATGCTATTTTCGGTTTTTCTGGGTCCTGATTTCTGTCAAAACCTCCACTGGCATCGTCAGAGGGCCAATGAGGGCTGGTCTGCTTTCCAGCTGGGCAGGCTCTGCCCTTGAAGTATAAGAAGGTCTGGGAGAGCCCTGCCCTGTTGTGGGGTCTCAGGATGCAGAGCTCTGGGGCATCTCCTCCATGGCCTGGGCTCTTCTCCTGCTCCCCCTTCTTACTCTCTGCACACGTGCTGCCCTAGGTCCTGCTTGCAGGCTCAGCCCCCACAGGACCCGAGTGGACCCGCCCCAAACCCTGAACTAGCCCAGGTACAGCTTCAGATTGGGACCCCTGGGAGTGAGCCCTTCTTCCTCAAGCCCACCTCTCCCCTCCTTCTTGCAGGATCTATGACCTCCATGAGCTGACTGGACTGCTTTCAATTTTGATGTTTCTGGGAGAGCTGGCCACCATCACCTGACAGAGAGACAAGTAGAATACTATGCTGTGCACTGGAACCCTAGATGCTCATTTGTGATAACACCAAAGGAACCCAACGACACCTGACTGAGTCTTTGGCTCCAACTCAGGGATCATGGCCACCTTACTGTCAGCAGGGTCTGGACTGAGGGCAAGGCTACTACTCCTGTCATGTGTGGGATAACAACAGGAGATGGGGTCATGGACACACTCTGACTTGTTCCTCATGCATTTAACCTGTGCCTTCAGGACCTGGTGAACTCTGATCTTCAATTTACCTCTTCTGCATGATGATGGAGAGCTGCTGTGAAAGCCCAGTCCCTGCATGGTTGGTTATATAACACCCAGTTTACATAGCTGACTCAGGTCATGGGGTTACTTAGTGGCTCATAGTCAGAATACAGCCTCTACTAAGATTCAGTAGCATTCAAAATAACAAGTAGTTGGTAGGCTGCCCATGTTTGTCAGTTCTAGGAGCAGCATCATTAACTAGCCAACACCAGTGATCCCTGTCAAACGAGTCTGATTATTAATTTGCTTCCATTTCATTATGGTTACCTCGCCCACATTGTCATTGGTGATAAATGCAACTACATGGCTCCTGCCATACAAAGGATTCCATCAAGCACGTTTGGGGTCCCAAGTCAGAGTCTAGAACCTCCAGAAGACACACATGCAATGGATATCTACATACACACATACAGTATACACATAAGTACACGTGTACACACATGTTCACCAGTATATTCATACGTAGGTACATACATAGATAATGTAAAGGATATGTCACAGGAGTTTCGCAGGCTAAACATACACATGTGGCCCAGGAGTCAGAGAGGCTGAAGGAAGATGAGGGGAAGGTGGAGCCTTTGTGACACGGCCACTGCCATATTTCAACCAGGTGACCCAGCAGATAAGCCCCGATGACTGTCCCCTACAAAACTGCTCCTGTTTCTTCTTCTGTGTGCACAGGACTTCACACAGGAACTTCCCTCATGCTTCACCCCACCTGGAAACCACAGCAGGGATGATTTTGACAACACGTCACTCCTGTCCCCAAACTTTTAACTTATGAGAAAATGTCACCTTGGAACAGAGCTAGTTTTGAATCATAAACAACATATTTTCTCACTGGTCCTTCATCCTCAGACAAACCAGACTCTTCCCAGCAGGACACAGACTCTGCTCTCGTGAGCACACTTATTATTATGTGTCCCTTCCTCCCAGAATGAGAACAGCCCTGAAGTCACCTCTCCAGAGATTCCTCCTCCAACTTCTCACCACACACCACCTGCCTGTCATTTCTGTCTGATCTCAATTAATGTTCTGCACATCATCTACAACTACAAATTCCTTCCACTATTACTTTTTAGCTGATTCTTTTGTGTTAATTATCATACTAATTGGTAGAATTTTTTTACTGCCAAGCAGACACATGACTATTAGAGGCAGAAATAGTCAGGAGACTATCTCTCTACCACAAAAAGTAAATCTGGAATCAGAGGGTGACTCTCCAAGTACTCACCAGTTCCATGATGCACCAAATCCTCTCTGTCTGTTCCACCATCCCTACTATGGAGCTTTGCTTTTATTTTTATACTGTAGTCCTCAGGATGGCTGCAGCCGCTCCAGCTATCACATCCATGTAAAGAGGAAAGGCACTGTATATCCAGTCTACTTCTCTCATTCACAAGACGACAAGTCCCCAGAAAGGATCCCAGCTGACTGACCAACCATGAGCCATTTCTGGCTTGCAAGGTCAATCCTGGTCAAGAGGGACCCCAGAATAGTAACAGTGTGGCTACTAAATGCATATGAAGATAAGATACAGGTAGAAGGGGCTGGAGACTCTGCTGTGCCACCAGAGCAACTGGGACCACTCTCCTGCTCCAACCACAAGATGGAATCTCTGAGAAAGATCTGTGTCTTGTTCACAATCATCTCCCAGGATGATTGTGTCAGACCAAAGTGGGTCTCGATAAATGTTTTCTGGGTGAGGGTTCTCTTGTCTCTGTCTTTGGAATGGCCCTATTTTGATGCACCAGCAGCCAGCACCAGTAAGGGGCTGTCGCTGCGTCCTGTGTCCCTACTGCTAAGCCCAAGAACCACACCCATGACCACCCGTGTCCCCAGAGATATGAGCAGTGATACTTCAGATGGGCCTTACCTTGTCTTCCTCAGATGAGCCTGTTCTTGTTTTCATGGATAATCTGATCTCCTCCTGCCTGGTCTTGAGGCTGACAGGGCATTGGAGAAAAGAGCAATTCCTCCTCTGGAGCCAGCAGTCAAGGGATCAGCGAATCAGGTTCTGAGCTGTGGGTTCTTCATCACCTGGACAAAGGAGTTCCCCGAGCCTCCCAGAGTCAGTGTGGAGTGGCCACCAGGGGACAGCAGAGATCACCTGGCAAAGCACCTGGAGATGGGGTGAGCCTGGCATCAGGGCTTCTATCACGCAGGAAGCGTTGGCCATCTGGATGTGAGACCTGAGGGAAAAGGTGTAGGTTTCTACAGGATCTCCTCTGACGCTGATATAAAATTCTGCATCCATGTCTCTTAGAACTGTGTTGTGTAGATTTGCTTCTCTCTCTAACACAGGTCAGTACTTCCCGCCTCTCCACTCACCTCATTTCTGCTCAACTCAGTCACTGTCACACCTTGCCCAAGGACTGGATCTGTCCTCGACACCGAGTGCACCTTGTGGATACTGAGGCTATGACCTGTCCCAGAAGCTCCCCCTTTCCCCCTCACCCCATGGACAGACACTTACAGCACCTCAATGACGCCTTAAAATTCCATGTGCACTTGACAAGGGAAGAATTTTATTTAGGTTCTGGTGTTCCCCAACAGAGATATGGCTCAGCAACCCCACTGACTTAAACCTCCTATAGTGTCTGTAGAGTAAACATGTTATCACGGGTTCAGAAAATACAGACAAATTCCACTTCTGAGCTCAGCCAGGACAGGTCAGCCCAGGAGTGAGGTCAGGACATGGAGGGGAATGGAGTTGTGCACCCCAGACTATGCGATCAGAGGGTGAAGCAGAATCCCCGGACTGAGGGTAGGTCTGCAGGGCCGTCCCTCCCCTCTCTGGCCTCTCTCAAACCACAGAGTTCCCGCCTGTGAGCAGCCCCCTCACCCTGGCTGATTTGCATGTCCACCACGTCTCTCTAGCAAGGGGATAAAAGAGGCCTGGGGAAAGTCCTGCCAGCCTCGGGGCCTGCGACTTAAGGAACAGAATCATTTCACCTCCACCATGGCCTGGAGTCCTCTTTTCCTCGGCCTCCTCGTTCACTGCACAGGTGCTGTCCACAGGCTCACATTCACTGCGGCCCCAGGGATCTGGGGCAATCCAGGACCTGACTCTGAGCTAAGCAAGGGGCTGCCTGTTGTGGGAAAGATGATCATGACCTTGCTGCAGGATGAGGGGCTAGGGGTGGGGGAGAGTGACAGTCCCTCAAGTGTCCACTGGCTCTGTGACCCTGAGGCACTGCACCTGCCTGGAAAAGTTAGATGATGTTCAAAGGCTCCATCCACCAGCCAGGCCCATGAGCATCAGGGGCTGAGATGATGGGACTTGGGAAACTGGAAACCCAGAGACTCCCTGAACTCAGGCCAGGCAGGTGGGGTTCTCCTGGGGATGAGACCCAGCACCGGAAAACCACCTTTCTTTTCTCTCTTGCAGGTTCCGTGGCCTCCTATGTGCTGACTCAGCACCCCCCTCAGTGTCCGTGACTCTGTCACAGACAGCCAGGATCACCTGTGGGGGAAACAACTTTGGAGGTAGAAGTGTTCAATGGTACCAGCAGAAGCCAGGCCAAGCCCCCATGCTGATTCTCTATTATGATAGCAAGTGGCCCTCAGGGATCCCTGACCAATTCTCTGGCTCCAACTCCGGGAACACAGTCACCCTGGCCATCAGTGAGGCCCAGGCTGAGGACAAGGGTGACTATTACTGTCAGGTGTGGGACACTGATAGTGCTCACAGTGACACAAACAGACGGGGAGTGAGACACAAACCCCTTCCCCCTCTGTGTCACACGCTCCTGCAGCCCCAGGAGGCCTGTGCACAAAGCAATGAGTGGGTCTGGCCCAGGTCTCCAGATCTGAAGTCCCCACTCTACTCTCCAGGTAGCATGGGAGAAGGTAGACCAGCAGAGAATACGCACAGTTATTATGAATATATTTCATTGGTTTCTGTGGGTGTGTATGTGACTCAACCAGTTAGAAGAACATATAGAAGCCATTTTTCAAAGACCAAAACTTTACAACTTCCCTAACAGAAACAACATAATCTGACATAGAAAACAACAACAACAACAACAACAACAACAACAACAACAACAACACTGGATGAGGTTAGCAACAGATTAGATGCTGAAAATGAGATCAGTGAACTTGACATCATAGCAGTAGAAAGCATTCAAAATGAAATACAGAGGGGAAAAGCTACAAAAAGTCAATAAAATTTTAGCATGTGTAAAACAACTTCCCACAGCCTTAAGTTTGTGTGACTTAGAAATTGTGGGAAAGAAGTTAGAGACCAGCTGGTGCCTTGAAAACACATCTGAAGAATCATAGCAAAAATGGCTTCAAATTTGGTGAAATTCATGCACTAATACATACAAGAAACTCAGCAAAGCTCAGGCATGGGAACACAAGAGCCAGCACAGCACACATTGTGATGAAACTGCTACAAACCAGTGATGCAGACACTCTTGCAGCCAGAGAGGAGCCGTGTTCCCTACAGAGGAATGAGCTTCATGGTGGGAGCACATTTCTCATTACAGACACATAAGCAAGAGAACAGGGGAGCAATGTCTCCACAATCCTAAGAAAATATCTGTCAACTTTGGTCTTTACCCATAGAAAATGTCATTGAAAAGGGAAGACAAACTAAACCTTTTCAGACTGCAAAGCCTCATAGAACTGATTACCCACACACCCTCAGCAAAGCAACAGTAAAGGACATCCCTTGGACAGAAGGAAAGGGTAGCAGAGGGAAAGTGAAACTATACAAGATGCATGAAGTATCAGATATCCTAAGAACAAGCATAAATATAAGAACTTTATTATGGTTACTGCCTGTAGAAAATCCTCAAGTGTTTAAATAAAATAATAATGATAATAATATACTGTGATTTATGTTAGAGACAAAAATAAAATACATGAAAATATTAGCAGACATGATGGGGGAGATGAGACTGTGTTATGATGTCCTTATTGTGCATGTGAATGATGTCATGTTCCCAGGAGGTAATTTGACCAGTTAGCAGGTGAGGACCATAAACCAAAAGAAACCATTAAAATCACACCATTGTAACAACAAAGAGTAAGAGCTAATAAGGTGCATTACTTAGGAATCTCCAGAGAACACACATCCAGTAGGACTCATGTCTCATTTATTGAGAGACAGAGGAGAGAGACTTACAATGAGAAGTGGCTCACACAGTTGTGGGGCGGCAGGTCTAGTCGCTACAGGACAGGACAGAAGGCTGGAGATTCCAGTAAGAACCATGTCGCAGACTCTAATCCAAATTCAGTCTGAATGATCGAAATGCTAAGAGAAGACAGAGAGGAAGAATTAAAAATTCCAATCAAAGTAAGATGAAAACTATGATGTAAACAGCCAAGGGTAGAATATGATTTCATTCATGTGGAATTTAAGAAACAAAACAAAGAAACAAAGTGGGGGAAGACAAACAAAGAAACAGACTCTTAACTGTAGAGAACAACCACATGGTTACCGGAGGGGACCTGGGTCAGGGGATGGATGAAACAGGTGAAGGGGATTAAGGGTACACTTATCAGGATGAGCACTGAGTAACGTGTACAATTATTGAGTGACTATATTGTACACCTAAGACTGATATAACACTGTATGTTATCCTCATTAGAATTAAAATTTTTTAAATAATAAAATAAAATAAAAAATTTTTAAATAATAAAATAAAAAATACCAAGGTTGAGATTAACACCAGACACGACAAGATAAAGAACACTTGAAGGAATCTGAAGACACAGCACAGACACTGCAAAATGGAAAACAGATTCTCTTTTTTTTTTTTAATTTTTTTTTTCAATGTTTATTTATTTTTGGGACAGAGAGAGACAGAGCATGAACGGGGGAGGGGCAGAGAGAGAGGGAGACACAGAATCGGAAACAGGCTCCAGGCTCTGAGCCATTAGCCCAGAGCCTGACGCGGGGCTCGAACTCACGGACCGCGAGATCGTGACCTGGCTGAAGTCGGATGCCCAACCGACTGCGCCACCCAGGCGCCCCAGATTCTCTGTTTAAAGTGAACAGTTGGGGCACCCAGGTGGCTCAGTGAGTTAAGCATCTGACTTCGGCTCAGGTCATGATCTCACACTTTGTGAGTTCGAGTTCCATGTCAGGCTCTGTGCTGACAGCTCAGAGCCTGGAGCCTGCTTTGGATTCTGTGTCTCCCTCTCTTTCTGCCCCTCCGCTGCTCAAACTTTGTCTCTCACCCTCTCAAAAATAAAAACAAACATTAAAAAAAAGTGAACAGAGAATCACCGAGCTATAGGACGACCTTACAGCGATGTAATACGATGTGATTGTGTCCCCAAAGAGAAGAAGATGGGGTGCAGAGGATGGAAATATTTGTGATGAAATATTGGCCAAAAATCTTCTGAATATGATGAAAACCCAAACCCACAGATCCCAAAGCTCAACAAAATTCAACTACAGAAATAGTTAAATAAAATAAAACAAAAACAAACAAAAAAACCCAACACCCATCAATATCAAATTGTTTATGGCAGGGAAAAGAGACAGGCTTAAAAGCTGCCAGAAGGAGAAGGCACACAGGTTTCAGGGAAAGACAGGGAGGGATTCTAGCAAATTTCTCAGTAGAAGTGCAAGCAAAAGATAGCATATTAACATCTTTAAAATACTGAAAATAGGAAAACAACTTAATTCTTTACCCAGGGAAATATCTTTTAAAAATTAAGGCTAAATAAAAAATTTCCTACACACAAAAAGTGGCAGGATTGATCATCAGCCAGCCAGATATACAAGAAATAGTAGTGGACACCCCTCAGGAAGAAAGGAGTGATTCCAGAAAGAATCTGATTCTACAAAATAAATTTAAAAATCACAAATGCTAACTACTGGGAAAAAATACTAGGAATTTTTTAGTATCTAAATCTCCTTTAAAGATAATTCACTATCTAAAACAAATCTAATACCTGTGTATGTTGGAATTTATAATACAGGTAAAAGTAACATTTGTGAATTACAGCAAAGATGCGGAGAAGAGAGAGAAGTTTGTACTAAGGATCTGACACTCTGTGTGACATGGGGGAATGAGTCAGGAAAATATGACAGTCACAGGTACAGCTAATAGCCAAAAAGAGAGAGAGAGATAAAATGGAATCATAAAATATGCTCCTTTAACTAAAAAAAGACAGAAATGGAAAAAGGAACATGGAGAATATGGACAAAGAAACACTATATACAATGATGTTATATGGAAATGATAATTACTAATCACATCCAGGAAATGGTCTAAATACAATGAAAAGACAGATTGTGAAACTGAGTTTAACAGCAACACCCAACTCTATGCTGCAATTAAGAATCCTAATGTAAATAAAAATACATTAAAATCCAAGTGTAAGTTCAGAACAAATTCCCACCAATTCTGATCCACAATGTAGAACATGAAACATTCACAGGGAACAGACAGTGCATTGGGGAAGGCAATTGAACACTCACAAATAGGTAGAATGAAAAAATTGATGTCGCATGTATTTAACACACACTCTCAGAAAAGAAATATTCACAGTACACATTTTCAGAAATTGATACAGAAATGCCCTTCACATCTCCCTCCTTTCCCCTACATTTTAAGAATTTTCAAATGCAGGGGCACCTGGGTGGCTCAGTCAGCTGAGTGTCCAACTTTGGCTCAGGTCATGATCTCGCGGTTCATGAGTTTGAGTCCCATGTCGGGCTCTGTGCTGACAGCTCAGAGCCTGGAGCCTGCTTCGGATTCTGTGTCTCCCTCTCTCTGCCCCTCCCCTACTCACGCTCTGTCTCTTCCTCTCTCTCAAAAATAAACAAACATTTTTTGAAAAGTAAAAAAAAAAAGAATTTTCCAATGCAGAGTGACAAGAGCTCCTCTAGGAGAGCCAAGAGGTGAGCACAGCTCCACATAAACCAGATCCACGAAGCCCACCCAGATGCACAGAGATTTTCTCCACCGGCCTGAGAAGGAGCATTTTCATAGGGACCGCTGAGGGAATGAGGAAGGCTTGAGGTGACCAGGCTCAGCTTTGGGCTCAGGAGACAGAAATCTAGGGTCCCCGCTATGACCTGGACCCTCTCCTGCTCCCACTCCTCACTCTCTGCCCAGGTGCTGCCCACAGGTTCAGTCCCCACAGGACCCTGAGCATGACCCTGACCCTGAGCTCAGCCCAGGGGATGCTGTGGGGGCAGGATCACTGAGAATGTGCCACATAATCTGCTGATCCTACAAGCCCTGTGGTCCACTATATACCTTAGCAGCCCCCAGCAGAGTGGCCATGAGACCCCTGTCACTACCACATGCTCAGGAGAGAGAGGACCAAGCAATAATAAGGAATAAACCCAGCAGCCCCCAGGCCACGTCCCTGCACAGACAAAGCCACCATCCCTGCAGATTCTCCACTTCTAACCTGGGACACACTCGCCCTGAACCTCACCACAGGCAGGCTGAGGGGGCTCGTTTATAGGCCAGGTCAGGATGGGGACGGAAGGGAGTCCAGGGACACAAGCCCTGCTGCCTACCTTGACCTCACCCTCCCTTCCACCCCCTCTGGTCAACCTCTGACCCAAACGGCCCAGGGTCTCAATCCAGGACACCTGGGCTCCCCTTCTGGCCTCACCTCACTTTTATCTGTGTTTCTGGGAACCTAGTATCTCTGGGCTTTGGCTTTACGTGCTGTGAAATGAGGATGCCTATACTGATGTTAGAAATGATTTTCTGTTTCGAGTTACAGGATACAAAGAATTTTAACAGCTTTATTCATTAAACAGAGGCTCTGTGGGGTCTCTGTGAGTAAGAGCTGGTCTGGGAGTCTCTTGTCCATCCTCTTCAGAAATCCATGGAAAGGACTCAGCAAAGTATGATGTGTATGGTGTGAAATTGAAGAACCAGGTCTGAATTAGCAGATTCCCAATGTCCTCCCACCTGCCAACTGGGCTGATGTAGAAATCCTCCCACCCCAAATTCTAAGAGATGTGGGTTAGGATAAAAATAACAGCAGTAGAAATAATAATACTAATAAAGATTTAGGTGCACAAAGGGAACTTTATGCCAGAAGTATCCCCTGTTCCCACTGACGAAAATCTGCACTAATTGGGTTGGGGAAGCATCAGTCTTGAAACTTAACACAGGAATCTGGTGGCCATGGGACATCACACAGGTTTATCTGGACACCGACCCTTTTCAAATGCACTACACTGTACCCTGCAGTCTACATTTTGTAAGAAGACAGTGGGCTAGTCCAGGGCATTTCAACCCTGGGACCAGTACAGGAACCGCACCTGTCCTGCCTCCTGCACCGTGTATGTGACCTGTGTGTGCTGGTTGGGGAGAGCAGGGGGGGCAGCTGCCTGGGGGAGGCTGGGCTCCCTGGTCCACAACCTTTTTCAGGTGACAGGTGCTTTTGGGGTGACCTGACCTGCAGGAGGGAAGCTCCTGGTCTGAGTCCTCCTCCACCAGCAGGGGGCAGCAGAGCTGCAGCAGGAGCAGCAGGACCGAGGCTGGGGCTGCCCAGGTGGAGCCTCACAGGGACACCAGGCCTGGGGGGCAGCAGGTGTTCAGGGTTCAGTCCTCACAAGCTATCCAGACAATGTGACCTGTCTCCACAAGATGCAGGGGCCTTGTTCTGAGGCTGACACACACTGTGACACCCAGGACACTGATGAAATTGTTGACACCGTGAATTCCTCACCTGGGAAATGCAGGTCGCCACCCCATCCACCAGTGTCCTGAGGGAGCTGACTCATCTGTGACAGGCATGTGGAGAACACCCTGACCACTCACCCTCTGCCTCTCCTTCCCTACTACCACTCAGACCCAGGGCTGCAGCATCCAGGCTCAGGAGTGTCTCAGGGGGCACTCGGAGTCCCTGGTCCCAGGCAGGAGCATCCACAGTGTCCCTGTGAGGCCGTCTCCAGAATGAAATGGATTCTCACTACCTGACGCCACAGCTCTGGTCCCAGGGCTGTCCTTGGTTCAGTGACAGGGTCCAGCTCCCTGCAGGGACCCTGGCTCTGGCTCCAAAGCTCACCCATGTGGGAAGACATAACCCTGGGGACCCTAACAAGACATGGAGCTTGATGGTGGTTTTTTAAGTCAGGGATGGCTTCTCATAAAATCTGTACCATTTCATCTAACACTGATGAAACAAAAAAGAAAAAAGTGCCTAGACAATGCCAATTGCTTCTCTGCTGTAGGATGGGGGTGTCAGAGAGATGAAGGTACCACGTGACAATAGACTGGAAGGACTGATGAATCTCCAACAGCGGTGGTTGTTGAACAAGTGGACCCTCACAGATAAAATGATGAACAAACATTCTAATGATAACGCTCCACATTCTAAGACATGCCAAGTGCCTCTGGGGGGTGCAGTGGAAACATGATGCAGGAGGAGGAGAAAATGAGGCCACAGGACCACCTTGCCCTGAATCAGGTGTTGTCTGTATCCCTCAGAGCGCCCATCCCAGCCCCACAGCCAGGCTCCCGAAAGACCACAGAGGGAGGCAAGCCCAGACTCCAAGCAGGATGATTTCAGAACATTGTCATGTGGTCTGATTCCATGAATGTGACTGTGATTCCACACCTTGAATGCCAAGGCTGGTGGTCTGACCTGAGAGCTGTTTGGAGGAAGCTGGGGCTCCCCCCTTCAGTCACATGTTCTGACCTCACAAGTGGCTTATCAGTTAGGAGCCCTAGAAATGGAGGAGATTTGCATAAGTACTAACAATCACAGTCCCAAGGACCTGGAAGGCAATAAGAGAGGCTGGGTGGAGCCCAGCAGTGTTGTGGGTCTCAGGAGGCACAGCTCTGGGCATCTCCACCATGGCCTGGACCCCTCTCCTGCTCCCCCTCCTTACTCTTTGCACAGGTGCTGTCCCCAGGACCCTGCACACGCCCAGCCCCCACAGGACCTGAGCTGTACCTGAACCGAACCCTGAGCTCAGACTGGCACAGTCTCAGTATTGAGTCCCTGGAATAATCCCCTGAACCCCATGCCAACCCCTCTTCTTTTGTCTTTTCAGGATTCGTGGCCTCCAGTGAGGTGACTCAGCCACCCTCAGTGTCAGTGGCCCTGGGACAGACGGCTAGAATCACCTGCTCTGGAGATATGATGGAGAAAAAATATACCAATTGGCACCAGCAGAAGCCAGGTCAAGCCCCCATACAGATCATTTATAAGGATAGTGAGCGGCCCTCAGGGATCCCTGACCGATTCTCTAGCTCCAGTTCAGGGAAAACAGTCACCCTGACCATCAGCGGGGCCCGGGCCGAAGACGAGGCTGACTATTACTGTCAGTCTTATGACATCAGTAGTGATGCTCACAGTGACACAGGCAGATGGGGAAGTGAGACACAAACCCTTCCCCATCAGTGTCATACTCTCCTCCTGCCCCAAGAATACTGTGCATAAAGCTATCAGTAGGTTGGCCCAGGTCCCCCGATCTGAGGTCTGGAGTCTGTCCCCTTACTCTTCACCCCCCAGACAGACTCTGCACGGTGTGGATCAGCAGGGGATTCGTAAACAGTCATTAGAACTAGATTTCCTCCATTACTGTGGGTGAAGGGTTGAATGAATTGTGAGGAGCAGATATGGATGGCATTTTTCAAGACAAAACCTTTTGAGAACTCCCTAATGAAACGCTCTGATATTTAAAAATACACTGGATAAATTGACAGCAGATAGGATGCTGCAGAAGAGGAGAAGAGTGAATCTGATGTCAAGCAATTCAAACTACTTAAAATGAGGGGCGCCTGGGTGGCGCAGTCGGTTAAGCGTCCGACTTCAGCCAGGTCACGATCTCGCAGTCCGTGAGTTCGAGCCCCGCGTCGGGCTCTGGGCTGATGGCTCAGAGCCTGGAGCCTGTTTCGGATTCTGGGTCTCCCTCTCTCTCTGCCCCTCCCCCGTTCATGCTCTGTCTCTCTCTGTCCCAAAAATAAATAAACGTTGAAAAAAAAATTAAAAAAAAAATAAACTACTTAAAATGAAACAGAGCCAAACACTTAAAAATATGAATATAAGCCAGGTACCTGTAGGACAACTTCACGCCACCCAGAGGGTGTGCAGTGTAGGAGCAGAGGGAGAGCAGGGAAGGAACCGAGACTGAATAACAAACTAGTTAAGAAGTAATCTGCAAAAGGCTTCAAATTCGGTGAACCACATGAACTAATGTATTCAAGAGGCTCAACAATGCTGAGGCACAGGGATCATGAGAGACAGCACAACACACATTGTAATGAAATTGCCACAAACCAATGATGCAGACCTTCTCACAGCCAGAGAGGACCGATGTGTTCCCTACAGAGGAACCAACTTCATGGTGGGAGCACATTTCTCATTACAGCCATGTAAGCAAAAGAACAGGGAGCAATGTCTTCACAATCCTCATAGAAAATACTATCAGCTTTGATCTTTACTCAGTGAAAACGTCATTGAAAACTGAAGAGCACCTAAAACATTTTCAGACTGCAAACCTCACAGGACCGGTCACCTGCAGCCCCTCAGCACAAGCAATAGGAAAGGATTCCCCCTTGGACAGCAGGAAAGGATGACAAAAGGAAATGGGCAGCTACACAAAAATATAAAAAAACATCAGGAATTATTACTACATGATAAATATAACTAATAATAATGTTATTAATTAATGTCTATAAAAGATAAGTGCTTAAAGAAAATAACAGCAATATGTTTGATTTGTAATGGCTGTACAAATAAAACATTTGACAGTGAGAAGCAAAACTGATAGGGGAGATGAGACCATGTTATGACGTCCTTATCATGTACGTGAGTGATGTCATGTCAATGGGATGTACTTTGATAAGACAGGAGGTGAGGACTGTGAACCCTAAAGAGACCTCTAAAATAAAACCAGTTTAATAAACAAAGAGTTATAGCTAATAAGGTGCATTACTTAGTATTGTCTGGAGAATATAGATCCAATAAAGAATGTGTATCATGTACATGTCTGAGTATATTTATCTGTGATGCACAGAGACAGTGGGAGAGAGAGACAATGACATTGAGAAATGGTTCATGCAATCATAGAGTGGCAGGTCTGGAAGCTGCAGGAAGGACAGAAGGCTGGAGGTTGAAGCCAGGATGATGTTGCAGACTTTAATCCAAATTTAGTCTGAACGATAGAAATGCTAAGAGGAGACAGAAAAGAAAACTGAAGGATCCAAATCAAACTTCCAGAGATGAAAACGACAACATCTCAGGCTGCAAACACAAGGGTTGAGATTAGCAGGTGACATGAGGAGGAGACGTGAGGGAAACTGAGGACACAGCACAGACTCTGCAGAGTAAAAGGCACAAAAAGACTTTAAAGTGAGCAGAGCAGCACTGAGTGTAGGAAACTTCAGCCATGGATACACAAGTGATTGTGTTCCCAGGGAGTGAAGGTGTGGAGGTAAACAAGAATATTTGATGAGTTATTGCCACAAATGCTCTAAATTTCATGAAAATTCAACACCAACAGATTCCAAATTCTTGAGAACCCCAAGCACAAGAAATAGAGGAAAAAACTACACAAAATCCCCATCAATACCACATTGTTTAAGGCAGAGAAAAAGAGTTTAAAGCCAGTGGAGAGGAAACTCAGTTGGTTCAGGGGAACAATGACAAGGATTCTGATAGATTCCTCATTAGCAGAAATGCACATGAGAGGGCAGCAATTAACATATTTAAAATACTGAATAAACAGGGGTTGCCTGGATGGCTCAGTCAGTTAAATGTCTGACTATTTAGGTTTCCCTGGTTATGATCTTACGGTTCGTGAGATCGAGCCCTGAGTTGAGCTCTGTGCTGACAGCATGGAGCCTGCTTGGGATTCTCTGTCTGTCAGTCTGTCTGTCTCTCTCTCATTGTCTCTCTCTCTCTTTCTCAAAGAAATAAACATTAAAAAAATTAATTACTAAAAAAAAAAGGTATAAACAAAAAAAATCCTTTTTTAAAAATTATTTTATTTCCAGGATAGTTAACACACAGTGTTATGTTAGGTTCAGGTGTACAATATAATGATTCAATAATTCTATACATTACTCAATGCTCATCATGATAAATGTATCATTTTTTTAAATTTACATGCAAGTTAGTTAGCATATAGTGCTATAATGATTTCAGAAGTAGATTCCAGTGATTCATCCCCAATGTATAATACCCAGTGCTCATCCCAAAAGTGTCCTCCCTAATGCCCCTTAACCATTTAGCCCATCCTCCCCACAACCTCTCCATTAATCTTCAGTTTGTTCTCTGTATTTAAGTCTCTTGTGTTTTGTCCCCCTCCCTGTTTTTACATTATTTTTGCTTCCCTTCCATTATGCTCATTTTTTTTATCTTAAATTCCTCATATGAGTGAAGTTTTATGATATTTGTCTATCTCCAACTGGCTAGTTTTGCTTAGCATAATACATTTTAGTTCTAGCCATGTAGTTGCAAATGGTGAGATTTCATTCTTTTTCATTGCCAAGTAATACTCCATTGCATATAACACATCTTCTTTATTCATTCATTCGTTGATGGACATTTGGGCTCTTCCCATACTTTGGCTATTGTCAGTAGTGCTGCTATCAATATTGGGGTGCATGTGCCCCTTTGAAACAGCATACCTGTATCCCTTGGATAAATACCTAGTAGTGCAGTTGCTGGGTCATGGGGTAGTTCTATTTTTAGTTTTTTGAGGAAACTCCATACTGTTTTCCAGAATGACTGAACCAGTTTGCATTCCCACCAGCAGTAAAAGATCCTCTTTCTCTGCATCCTCACCAACAACTGTTGTTGCCTGTGTTGTTAATGTTAGCCATTCTGACAGGTGTGAGGTGGTATCTCATTGTGGTTTTGACTTCTATTTCCCCGATGATGAGTGATGTTGAGCATTTTTTCATGTGTCGGTTGGCCATCTGGATGTCTTCTTTGGAGAAGTGTCTATTCATGTCTTTTGCCCATTTCTTCACTGGATTATTTGGTTTTTTGGGTGTTGAGTTTGATAAGTTCTCTATAGATTTTGGATACTAAGCCTTATTTGATATGTCATTTGCAAATATCTTCTCCTGTTCTGTCAGTTGCCTTTTAGTTTTACTGATTATTTCCTTACCTGTGCAAGAAGCCTTTTATCTTGGTAAGGTCCCAATAGTTCATTTTTGCTTTTGTTTCCCTTGCCTCTGAAGACATGTTGAGTAAGAAGTTGCTGCAGCCAAGGTCAAAGAGAATTTGCCTGCTTTCTCCTCAAGGATTTTGATGGCTTCCTGTCTTACATTTAAGTCTTTCATCCATTTTGAGTTTATTTTTGTGGATGGTGTAAGAAATAGGTCCAGGTTCATTCTTCTGCATGCCGCTGTCCAGTTTTCCCAGCACCATTTGCTGAAGAGACTGTCTTTATTCCATTGGATATTCTTTCCAGTTTTGTCAAAGATTAGTTGGCCATACACTTGTGGGTCCATTTCTGGATTTTCTATTCTGTTCCATTGATCTGAGTGTCTGTTTTTGTGACAGTACCATACTGTCTTGATGATTACACCCTTGTAATACATCTTAAAGTCCGGGATGGTAATGCCTCCAGCTTTGGTTTTCTTTTTGGGGACTGTTTTGACTATTCGGGGTGTTTTCTGGTTCCATAAAGATTTAAGGATTGTTTGTTCTAGCTCTGGGAAGAATGCTGGTGTTATTTTGATTGGGATTGCATTGAATGTGTATATTGCTTTGGGTAGTATTGACATTTTAACAATATTTGTTCTTCCAATCCATGAACATGGGATATTTTTCCTTTTTTGTGTGTGTCTTCTTCAATTTCTGTCATAAGCTTTTTTTCGTTTTTGGTGTATAAATTTTTCACTTCTTTGGTTAGATTTATTCCTAGGTTTATGGTTTTTAGTGCAATTGTAAATGGGTTCGATTCTTTCATTTCTCTTTCTGTTGCTTTATTAAAGGTATATAGGAATGCAACTGATTTCTGTGGATTGATTTTATATCCTATGACTTTGTTGAATTCATGGATCAGTTCTAGCAGTTTTTTGGTGGAATCTTTTGGATTTTCCATATAGAGCATCATGTCATCTGCAAGGAGTGAAAGTTTGACTTCCTCCTTGCTGATTTGGATGCCTTTATTTCTTTGTGTTGTCTGACTGCTGAGATTAAGACTTCCAATACTATGTTGAAGAACAGTGGAGAGAGTGGACATCCCTGCGGTGTTCCTGACCTTGGGGGGAAAGCTCTCAGTATTTTCCCATTGAGGATGATATTAGCAGTGAGTCTTTCATATATGATGTTTATGATCTTGAGGTACACTCCTTCTATCCCTACATTCTTGAGGGTTTTTATCAAAAAA